GTTGAATGTACGGAGTATACTACCTCTACCTACAAAAGCCGGAGATCATCTGCAGGGTAGGTAGTAACTAGGTACTATATAGGTACCTAGGTACTACCTAGTAGTCGTAATAACTTCAGTTAGGAATTGACGATTTCTCTCTGTCTCCGTGGCCAGTCCTCCCTACTGTATTCTCCTCCAATCAAACCCTTGAACCAGCATCATCCCGGCAGCGCAGGACGATCGAATGACTTACAGCAGCGCGCGATCCATCCGTCCCAACAGTACACCGTGTGGCCCCTCACGCGCAGGCTGGAGAGTCCAAAACTCCCAAAAGCCAATCGCACCATCTTTGTCTTTAGTAGACTTCTTCTCCCCCTTCTTCATTTACGGAGTAGTTTTCTGGACAGTTGGTTTTTTTTTTTTTTTTTTTTTTTTTTTTTATCTTTTGGGCTTTTCCCGCTCCGCTCTTTCTTGTCTAGACTCGCCCCCATTGTCTTTCCCAGTGGGATCGAAATGAAGGCCCCGGAATCTCAACCTCGATCTTTTGAATTTTCAGTTGCAATAGTAATGAGATGTAGTTGTACTCCGTAGATTGCTATGAAAATGACTTGAAAAATAGTGGCTTGACCCTGCAGGTCCTGCTCAGAAGGCGAAATCCATCTTGTCAAGCATCAGCATATCATCCATTCCGGCAAGACAGGTACCTACCTACGTATGAAGCGAATTCTTCTTGGTGTGCCTGTCTGCTGGTTTTATTCTACCCGCGATTGTTCGCTTCATCCTCTGTTCCATTTGCCGCCGAGGATCCCTGGTACGGGAATGGCATTGCGATTCTTCATTTGGTCTTGTCACTTTCTTGCCATTGAGATTTGGCGCCCCGCCCCCTCTCTCCGTCTCTCCCCCCCATTTCCTTTCTTCATTCTTCGTTGAGCAGCCAATGTGAAGCTGAGAAGCATGGCCTTTCTAGCCTAAACGGTGGTTCCTACCCGGCGTCTTGTTTAGCTTAACCGGCCGAATGGTCCTTGCTTCGTGGCGGATTGGCGGCATTCATTGAGCTGTCTGGGCTTGAGTCTTACCACGGGGACTGCTAGATGGGACCCTGCCAGAAGATGAGAGAAATGGGCTAAATGAGTGAGTTAGCCGCAACAACAGCAGCAGCAACAGCAGCACTAGAAGTTACTAGGACTAGTTACTACTACAAGTACAACTACTACCAGTACCATTATAGGTACCACTTCACACAGTAGGTATCATTTAACCAGGAGTCATCATCATCAGTCGGCGGCGGCGGCGGCGGCAGTAGCAGTAGCAGTAGCAGCAGCAGCAGATCCCACGGTGTAGCTCTCCGCTCTTCCGCACGACGCACGGTTGTTGTCCCAGAAAATCCATCCCACTCCGTCGCCTTTTCTGCTGCTCGTTTTGAGTTGCGGGATCCACATCTGACTGCTAGGCTTTAACTATGATTATTTGCTTCCCATTTTAGTAGTTATCTCATTCTGCTTTTACCCCAATAAATTATTGCGTTGCTTTTCCTGTTCTCTCTTTTTTTTCACCTTTCTTTTTTTTTTTTTTCTCATTATTTTCTCATTTTCTTATTTTCTTATTTTCGTAGTTTTGATTGATTTTATTTTATGACTTTTTCCTTCTCAATATCGTGATCCTTCTGATTTCTCTTATCCGCTTTCCTAAATTGCCCTTGGGATTGGATTCTTGCTTTTGCTTTTGCCTTTCTCTCCCTTCCCCTCCCGCGCATGTTGATTTATTAGTATTCTTCTTGCCCGACCAGAACGGAGACAGCCATAGTCCACTAACATAGTCAGTTTCTCTCGCTCAGCTTCCTCCATCAATTGCTCTTCTCCCTCCACCTTGCGGACTTCTTTTCCCGTACGGGCCCGTGACTTGCAAGAAGCCTATACCGGGACAGATCCCTCACAGAAAGGATCGCCTGCGACGGATCATAAGCTATCACACCCAGAAGAACGAGGTTGCGCAGCACGTCCAGACCAGAAGTGCGTCAGAGACAATTGCTCGATCTCGCACCCGACTGCTTGCCTGCCTTGCAGCTTCTCTTACATTCCCGCGCAGCAGGTCTCAGAGAGAAACTGATCTCAAGCTCGAGTCAAAGACACGTGCCGGTATGTGGTGTATCTTCTCTTAATTTTCTTTTTCGCTTTTGCATTTGGCTGCCTACCTACCCCTTTCTTTTTCTTCGTTGTCTGTTCTCTACTGGATTGGTCTTTCCTTGGGTGGTGGTGGTGATTTCTGGCTGTTGCAGCGGTTCTTGTTCCTTGCTGCCCAGCCGCCTCGCCCAGGGAGTTGAATGGTCCTGCCATCGATGAGGGACTGGAACTACTGTAGAGACGCTGGGCTGTCTTGCTCCACATGCATGGAAACAGCTTCAGAGATCGAGTGTAGTCTGGTTTTGGGGAGGATCTGAAGGGGCAGCTGGGTTACCTACCCTTCTTTCTAGAACCGAAGAAGGTCGGGGGTGGCTTTTTCTTTTTCTTTTCTTTCTTTTTCTATTTTTTTCTTCTTCTTCTTCTTCTTCTTCTTCTTCTCCTCACACAGAATAATCATCCCTTCCAGTTGCATTCCTATCTTGTCACCATTTTTGGCTCTCTGGGGGAGGTGTTTCGGTTGCACCCGTCAGCCCCGAAGATCCTCTCAACCGTCCGTCACCCACCCACCACCATCATCATCATCATCATCATCACCGATTGAACTAAGGGATTTGATTATTTAATTATTTGATGATTTGATGATTTTTTTTTTTCGTTCTTTCTTTTTGGTGTTATTTTCCCCAATTTGTCTCATTTCTCGTTTTGTTCTTTTTTTTTTTTTTTTCTTTTATTGTTTCCATATTTTATTTCATTTCTTTGTTAGCCTCTTTCCCCCCTTTGTCTGTCTCTCTCTCTCTCTCTCTCTCCCTCTTTCTCCTTCCCGCACCTGGACCCGATCTGGCAGACTTGTTATTCTCAACCACGGTAGAGCCATCGATGGGCGGAAGCCGTCTGTGACCATCGGTTGACTTTTCTCCACCCTTTCCAGTGCCATTCTTTGACCATTCGACTTATACTCAGTTACTACTATCTTCAACTTCTTCATCACTACTAGCTGCCATCAGCAGCATTTCGAGTAAGTGCTTCTTTCTGTCTTCTTCGCTAAATTATTTTGAAGTGTCTCTTCTTTGGGTTGCTCCCTTGATATTCGCTTTTACTTCTTTTCCCCCGTTTTTTTTCTTTTTCATGTTCTTTTTCTTGTTTGGGTTTAATAAGTTTCCCAACCATCAACATTTCCCTTTCTGGTGTCTTCACTGAAGAAGCAGAAAGGTCGACAGGCGGGCCAGAAACCCTCCCCGGCAGCTGCAGAGAACATCAGGCTTAGCCCGCGTTTGCTGGCCGACCTCCTCCACCTCCTCTTCTTTCTCCCCCTCCTCTCTTCCCCCTCCCAGCCTCCACCTTTCTGTTCATGATCTGCTGCCGCGGCACTAGTTGTAGTTGCTGCTGCAGTCATTATTCACTTCAATTCACGATCAATTCTTCTCTCTCCACCGCTTTGAATCTTCCCTCCTTCCTCCCCCCCGCCCCCCCTCCTCCCGGTCGGTCATGATCGCCCACGTCTGGATTGTCCAAGAGACTTAGGGCGGTTATTTTTCGTCCTTTTTCGTCCTTTTTTCCTTTTGCTGGCGACTCTGATCTCATTATTCCTTTATGGATTTTACTGCAATAATTCCCTTTGCTCTACCTCTTTCCGTCCCAAATTCCCCCCAAAAGAAGAATTAGCTGCATCCTGTTTGGATTGTCACTTGTTGTTCCTCTGACCTTTTTCTACTACCTATTACGCTCTCTCTCTCTCTCTCTCTCTCTCTCTCTCAGCTCTCTCTCACCTTATCCTTATCCACCCTCACTCACCCTCACCAACCTAACCAACCCTTTTCTCTCACCTTCCCTCCTTCTCTGATCCTTCCTTTGCTGAACCTGCTTCCTTGGTTCGCATTTCTATTTCTATTTCCCCCCCCCCCCCCCCGGCCCGAGTTTTCTTCCTCCCTCCCCTCCCTCCACTCCAAACCCATTCGGGACTCCCTTGTCCGCCTCCCGTCAAGTGTGCCATCCATCCCTTCCATTTGACGCCTTCTTATACATACATCAAACCTCCGTTCCTCTTCTGCGCTTTTCTCTATTTCTTTCCTCACTTCCGATCTATCGAATGTTTCCCTCCCCCCGTCTCTTGATGACATTATGTGGATGACTTGAATGTTCTTGTTCTTGCTATCGTTACAGCCTCCTTTCACTTGCCATTCTTCTTCTGCATCCTCGACTTGCTTAGCTTGTTGACCGTGTCCTACCTAGAGCTCGCAGCATACATTAGCATTGCACCCGCCGCTCGCAACAACTCGCTACGACCCGTTACGACTCGACTGTTACTCCATTTGTTCGCCTGTCTTGTCGCTGCATCACACGTACTGCATTTTGCGTCAAACATTGCGGAAGACACCCCCCGACGTTGGATGCTGGATTATCACGTCGTCTTCGCCTCCTGCTTTGTTATCACGACCTGAAACGAGACCCATGATTGTGTGATTCTGATTCGGCTGAGCGTTTCCCTCCCAAACCATACGCAAGCGCTTGTTGTTCATCTCGCTTTCGTGGTTCTGCTTGAAGAGAGTCGTTTCTCTCACGTCTCAGCATCTAGAATTTTGTCCGCAAAGCGCCTGCATAGCGATTTCCTTGGTCTCCACCAGTGATCTCCTCGAGCGTTTATGGTTACGATTGTCCACGAGTCCGCCACGATTACACATCATTGCATGCCCTGCATTACCTGCTAAAGCTATTCTACTTGTCATTTTTTGATCACTGTGATCGAAAGTCCCAACTGACCTCCCAATCCATCCCATCTAAGAACTGAGAAGCACGACGAAACCAACAACCGCAGATAATCCTTTCTGCTTTCCTTTTCTCGGCACGCCGGACAGAACTCGCAGTCCGACGTCCAAGCGCACTCCAACTTGATCATTATTCAAACCGTTACCCCCGTCAACCGAAAAGCTGGAGCTGCCGTCGATCTCGCAGGTCCACACCAGAGGTCCTGTTGACATCCCTTGGTATAACCATCACGCCGCTGAGAGACCTCTGTTGTCTGGTGACAAGCTTCCAGCTCTCAGTCTCCCAACGGCTTCGCAGGCCATCTCGGGCCACTCCTATCGGGCGAGCTACGACGACGCCGCCGCCGCCGCCGCCCTGGGATCCAGCAATACCAGCGCCCGCACAAGTTTATCAGGATCCGCACCAGTGGGTAGTGATACGCGAAGCCCGCCTGCATCCTCGACCGATCTCACGACAGCCAACCAAAGTCGCGTTGCACTGGACGCCTCGGCACCTCAGGAGTACTCTCTCGCGCAGAATCCGGTCAACGAGAGTTATTATCAGAATCAACCCCACATCAACAGCATGAACCAGACCCAACCGTACATGGACGTCCATTCTTCGCATTTGTCGTCCGGACAGCCCTACGCCTCGCATGCTGCCACCGCTGGGGGGATTGCGCACTACCCACAATACCACCAGCAGCCGCCGGTATTGCAGCCCGCGTCGTCGACGTATGGGCCGGCTAGCTCTTATGCCCAGTATGCCTATCCCGGCGGTGTAAGTTCTTCCCAGCCTGGTCCTCAGCCTCCGTCGACGTCTTTGAGTGGCCAGGTTCCGGCTCAATTGCTGCCGCTACCCGGTAAGTAACGCTGATCGTCGCAGTTTGCCTTTCGTGCTAGGAGAATGACTGATTTCGATTGCCAGCAGTGACAAGTCACCCAGTGCCCACTCCCAGCTACGGCAACTCGACCGGAGCCCCGATGCAAGGTTTTGTGTACGATCCCACCGGTCAGATTGCGCCTCCAGGGTCAAAGCCGCGGGTGACCGCAACGCTATGGGAAGATGAAGGAAGCCTTTGCTATCAGGTCGAAGCCAAAGGAGTTTGCGTTGCTCGACGTGAAGGTAAGCTCGGCTGCCCCAGCTCGTGAAAGTGCTGGTGGACTGATTTCGCGGTTGCTGACCTCCCTTTTGCAGACAACGCAATGATCAATGGCACGAAGCTTCTCAATGTGGCGGGCATGACGAGAGGCCGGCGAGATGGTATTCTAAAAAGCGAGAAGCTCCGCCATGTCGTCAAAATCGGTCCGATGCATCTCAAGGGCGTATGGTACGGTGATCCTTTGTTGGCCTTGCGTGTCCAACCATCCCATAAGCGCTAACAGTCTCCGAAATAGGATTCCTTTTGACCGAGCTCTCGAGTTCGCGAACAAGGAGAAGATCACGGACCTGCTGTATCCCTTATTTGTTCATAACATTGGGGGATTGTTATACCACCCGACCAATCAGAACAGAACTAACCTCGTGGTGCAAGAATCTCAGCAGCGGCGCATGGAGGGTTCTCAAGCGGCGGCACGTACGTCTCAGGGGCCCCAGCCTTCTACTTTGCACCATCATCACCATTCCCTCCAGGCTGGTGTGCCTTCCCACATTGCTCAGCCACCCACAGTCGCCTCGCAACAAGGGGGTAGACCGGGGCTTGATCGGGCTCATACTTTCCCCACTCCTCCTGCTAGTGCTTCGAGTCTCATGGGTATCACCAACTCCAGCAATTCCTACGATTGGAACAACCAAGCAATGACATCGGGCGTTCCCAACTCCCAGCCACTGTCCATTGATACGGCTCTGAGCAACGCCCGCTCGATGCCAACCACGCCGGCCACGACTCCCCCTGGCAATACCTTGCAAGGAATGCAGTCTTTCCAGGGGCAATCAGGCTATGACTCGAAGCCTTATTACTCTGCAGCACCGCCTTCCCACCCTCATTATGCTTCGCAATCGAGCGGCATGGCCCCATATGGACAAACAATATCGTCGACTCCCTATCTGAAAAGCGAACCATACCTGAAGAGCGAACCGTATTTGAAGAATGAGCCGTATATGAAAAACGAGATGGGACCCCCTTCAAGCCGTACCCCGGGTGCGCAGGCAGAGAGTGAGTCGGCCGATGTCAAGTCGGAGCGTTATGCCCAGAGCAATGGCCATGTGAGCGCTACTGGAAATGAGTCAGTCGGGGAGCATGAACCGGAGTATGTGCAACATGACAATGCTGGTTATAATACTGGTCGTGGCTCATACACTTACACCACCAACCCATCGGTGGGTAGTCTGGCTGGAGACCACTCTCAGCTCGCACCTGAGATTGCCGGTTCTCCTACCCAGCCGAACGGGTCCGGGAGAATGACCCCGCGCACCAGTGGTGGGCCTCCGCCGTGGGGCACAGGCTACAGTACCCCGCCCCGCCCTGCTGCTGCCAGTAGTCTCTACAACATTGTCAGTGACACTCGCGGAACGTCTAACACCGGTGCCACCTCCGATAATTATTCAGTCTCCAACTCGGCTGCGGGATACGCGACCGCGCTCAATGTTTCGCTTGGCTCGAACAAGCGCATGAGGGAAGACGATGAGGTGGATCGTATTGCTCGTCCCGATAGTCGCGGCCCTGACTATGAGAGTAAGCGTCGCAAGACGCTGAGTGAGACTTCTGTCGGTGGACCTGTTGGTGGCGTTCCGTTAGCATTGCAGCCCATGAAGGCAGGTGGTGCGATGTCTCGTCGCCGGTAGCCGGTGCCGGCCCCGAAGGGAGGAGCCGAACCCAATGAGAGAGAATAGGCGGGAAACCCCCACTGACGAAAAGCACAATCTTTTCCTTAGAGAAAAGATAAAACCTATTTCTTTGCAGGGTCTTTTTCTCAACTGGCGTGTATCCTGGAGGGGGTTTTTTTTTTTTTTTTTTTTTTCTCTCTTTTGTTTGCTTACTGCGAAAACTTTTCGCCTTCATAATAGACATTGATATCGGCTTGGGGACTAGGTTACACCATCCATTGCGACCACTCGCATGGGTCCAAGCCCTGGTCACCACCGAAGCTGCATTTGTTTGATTTGTTGAAAGTCTGCAGTGAGGACCTGCGCCCCATTTTGCGCCTACTGCCGCCAGGTGATTGGGCGCAGGTAGGACCACGAGGCCGGTTGTGGTTATGCATGCATGTATGAGCCTCAAACGAGGTTCAATTTTCAATCGTTTAATGTGTTTTGTCTGCACAGGATTCTGCCCAAGAATCTTGCATAGTGGACCTCTGTGGAAGATGATCTTGATAGGGACAGCGTCCATGTGGACACAGGGGCAACGGGAATGGTCAGCGTTCTGGGGTGTGGTTTCTTTGGTCATTTGTTGGCTTGCGCATTGGTTCTGACCGGCTATATTTAACGACCATGATGTCACGAATTTCCTATGACGAGAGAATCTTGGATTATATTGTTGTGGTTCACTTTTTCTTCGCTTTGATTTGTTCAATCACTCTCTCCATTCTTGCATCTTCAGGTTTGCGGCCGACTGGAGTCGCTTCCTGGACTTCACGTGTGCGCCTTATTTTCTGACATGTATGGGCATCTTCAAAAAACAAAACTCCACGGGTTTTCAAACTTTCATTGTAATCTGCGTGTGAGGAGTGTAGTTGCAGTGTGCCAAGGTTTTCCGGTTGACATCGTTTAGGCGTTCAGAACGGGTTGACCAATTGTGTACTCCAGGCTAAATCTTTAACCATTGCGCCTGCATGCATCCATCAGTGCGAGCAGGACTATGCCTCCACCGCATGGTACATGTCGATGCTTGCAAGAGTAAGTACATACGTGCGAGATGTTCATGTGAGAAATTCCATGAAGATAGACCTAGGCATGCTTTCGAGATGTAAATCAACATCATCAGTCATAAAGAGTGAGAGAAAGAGATACAAGGTAGTGTCGATAAGGATTGCATGGAAGAGGACGGGACAAGTAGAGCGTAAACGGGTACATGTGCCTGGCCATCCTACTAGAAAGGATGCATTTCCCACCTCAAGACTGGTTTGCAGAGTGCAAATTGTGTAGACATGGCGGGATAGGTCGAAGAAGTCTCTCTGCCCTTGTTGTCAAAAATTTGAGCTCGCCTATAGGGTCGTTGTTGTGATTGTTGCTGAAGGGCTCGTAGGTTAATGGGAGGAGGCAAACTGGTGTAGCTTCTCAAGTAAAACGCGTATTTCGCCTGTCCATCGAGCTGTTCCTCGTGTCGCAAAAGCTTCAACTGTCTTTGAATTTCCTTGGCTTTCTTGACACCAAAGCCCTCAGTATCGATCTCTTGGACCGATTCCAGAGGCAATATTATGCACCTCGGCATAGCAGAGGACTGCGAAGAGCCCATCCCAGAAAACACTTGCTCGACCCCGGAAAGAATTGATTCGCTACTCTGCGGGAGGATGGCCATGGGGTTCCAATCGCCGCTTGATGCCTCTTCGTTTTGAGCTAGCATTGGGTCAAAGCAAGGGAGTCCATGACCGGCTATAGGGCACGGCAAAGAATCTGACTCGTGGTTTGATCCAAGGAGGTCTTTTATCCCGCGAGTCTTTAACTCAAAGGTAAATTCGTCCCGCCCATGCTGAGTGAGTGCCTTGAAGGGTAGTATGGCCCGAGATGCTGCTTGCAGCTGAGAACGAGAGTAATGGTGGGGAAGAAAGAGAAGAATGAGGATGAGGACCCCAATGGTCCTCAACCATCATTTCAGTGCAAGAAGGACAAGTCGGCTTCTGGATTCAGAGAAATGGTCGATCACCGACCCTTCGGGTTTTCAACGCTGTACCATTCAATGGCACTTCTCGCCCCTCTCTGCACATCAATATAAGTACTACCTCCTAGCAGCACCTCCTTGACGAGACGTTTCGGCTGGCATACAATCCGAGCCAGACTTGGGTCTTCGCAACCTCACACAGCACGAAAGCGGTCACTTATTTCTCTGGAATTACGAGTGGTATCTCACCCTCAACCGACTTCGTCAACGTGATTCCGTATTTCAAACCGCATGCAACAGTCTTCCGGCCACTGGGACAAGATCATTTGGCGTCGCGGGACCCCGAGCGACTGCGACGGTACGAGAAAGGAGAGCGACTGGACGATTTCTTTTCAAGCGTTGATGGAAGACAAGAATGGCCGGACCAACCCGCTCGAATGGGGCGAGGTGCTGGCTGAGGTCAATATCATGATGAATGCGGGCAGTGTGACCTGCGTTATCAACAAACTGCCATGACCGCAGATCTGTCAGATTATGATCCAGACTCGATTCATGAGATCCCAGACACAAAATTAGCTATAGTTCTACTATCTACATATGGAGAGGGGGGCGATCCTAGCGATAATACGGCCGAGTTTTGGGACTGGGTTCAGAAGGCCCCCCGAAGGGTCACTGTCCAATCTGCGTTACTGCGCCTCTGGGTTGGGCAACAGCAATTACAGATTCTACAATCGAGTCGTCAATGTGGTCGCGCAGGCACTAGACCAGAGAGGGGGGGCTCGTTCTCTGGTGCCCCTGTTGGTAGAGCCTACGATGTCGAAGGTACGACGCAAGAGGACTTTCTTACCTGGAAGGACGACCTGTTCGCTGCCTGCCGGATCCAGCTGGGTTTTAAGGAAGGCGAGGCTCAGTATCGACCCACAGTAGCAGTTGATGAGGACGAGTCAGTCGAGCCAATCGATCTTCACATCAAGGTGCACCTGATCCTCGCGATCCTTCAGGCAAGGTGTCTACTCAGTGCTCTGCAGTACGGCCCCTTCCTATACCCGGTACGCGCCAGCTGTTTCTCTCGACCTCGGACCGTCATTGCCTGCATCTCGACTTAGTCTTGGAATCTATTATTTCGTTATCTTTCTTTTGATAATAATAAGTTATATCTTTAGTAGAAAGTTAAGAGAGTATGTTTTCAGTAATGCTCTCATGTTTTTCTGATAATATTTCTCCTATTCTTTAGCACTACATAATAGTAAACCGCCTCCAAGCCAGTCTCATATCATGCCACATGTACCCCATATTTATGGAATAAAAGAGAAGGCGAGAGCAAAGTCTTTGGGATGTATACAATTGCTAACTTTTGCAAGTATGTACTGCATGAACCAAACAACCTGGGAGTGAACCATACTAAAAGAAATGAGAAGGGCCAAGTCACTTCTGCCCAGGATCACATAAGCCACCATCCTCCCTCCAGCCGTTTTAGCAAAAGAAAGCAAACCGACCAATTTCCTTAGAAATGGTTTGCTGTGGTCTCTCTCAAGACTAAGTCTCACGAGAAGAAAGAACCTCTAAAAAACGAAAAAAAAAAAAATAAAATAAAATAAAATAAATGAAAAAGAAAAAAAAAAGAATCAGGTCTAGGGTATTCTTTTCGCAGCATGTGCCTGCTCAAAGATCCGTTGCCAGATCGTGATCCACTGCTGCTGCTTGTAAGATGGATATGTGAGCTTTTGAGGCTCGCGGAAGGTCGCCTGCAGGATATCGCGCAGACGAGCGCTGAGTAATTTCAGCGCCAGCATTGATTTCCAATCCCGAATGGAGAAGCGAATGCGGTTGGCGTCAATAGAGATGACGCCGGAATACATCTAAGCATGGTGTTAATCTTATCTCTCTACAAATCTCAAGCAAGGAGGTATGTGTGGTAATAAGGTCTGGCCTCAGTCCGGCTAGTGAGATCTTGGAAGATCCATAAACGCACCTTGAATTCAGGCTCGCCGCAAAGTAGGGCAATGGCAAAGTCGTCCACAACGCTCGTCTCGAACGCATTGTAATTTCGATTACGGCCCTGCATGATGTTGTAATAGGAGAGCCATCTGAGAGGGGGTGAAGCTGGATCGGGGTTGCGGTTGACGGAAGTGGGATGAAGGGTGACGGATTGATTGTTGGCAACGTTGCGCCAACCTTTGCCTTCACGAGTGAGCAGCTTTGGGTAGAAACTCCACGAAATCACCGAGTTGACGACCGTGTCATTGACGCTGTTAGTGTCATACTCCTCGGGGATAACGAAGAATTGACGGTTTCGCCCACCGTAGCGCGATCTTTCCGAGTCAGTGAGGTTTGAGCTAAGATATGAGATGTTGGAAAGCTAGCTAACCTATTGAGAGCAGCCTTCTGCGTTGGGTCGAGGGTCAAGAGACCAGCATCGGCAATCGAAACTATCAGTTGCATTTTGATGTCTTCAATATTGAGCAGTGTTTGAGAGCTGAGAAAGTTCTTCCGACAGAACGCGTATTCGTTTGCACCAGGTGAGTTCCTTGTGCGCTTCCAAGAGCAATAGGCATTATATACTGTCAGGAGATCCGAGTCGCCTGTACGAGACGATTGAAATTAACCCTGCATCAACAAGCACTAGGGTGCCTTCAGTAGCTTACCTTTGCGAAATGAGAGCCTGGCTATATCCTTCTGCGTGTTCGATCCCATTGTGTTAACGAAAGGTGACTTGGAGGAAAGAATGGCTGCAATGCTAACGGTGGCATCTAAGCACCGGAAGAATGCGCCATGGATAATCAGCTTCCCGAGAAAAACGTCCAATGGTAATTTAGCGAGCTGCATTCCAAGAGGGGTCAGATTCTCTGCATTTGTCAGTGCTTTGACTTCCTTCAATGAGTCAATCGCGCGGCGGATATTTTTCGATGACGGCGGATCGAGCGCTTCTAGGAGAGTCGGTTCCACCTCGCCCAGTTTGCATATCTTGACTCGCAGTACCAGATCCTGAAGAGATAAACGCAGCATCTCTGGTGTTTGTTGTTCCGCAAGCTGCAATTGAGTTATGAGCATGTACACTTTACCAAGTGTGATGAACACATACTACTTTGTCATGGCGATATTTCGTGAACATATGGAAGCATATTCCGTCCTGAACTCGACCAGCTCGCCCTCGGCGTTGCTTCGCATTGGCTCGTGAGATGAAGGTTTCAACGAGTCGTGAGAGTTGTCGTCGCTCATCGAACCTATCTGTTATGAGAAAGCGTCAATGCTAATGGTCGTTTCAATACTAACCGCATGGTCTTTTCTTTGCCTGCATCAATCACAGCAGTGATGTCCGGAATCGTAATTCCTAGCCAAGGTTAGTGAATGGTACTGCTTGGAACCTAGGAGACTGACCTGTTTCGGCTATGTTGGTAGCAATTACAATCTTCCTCATGCCCTCCGGGGGTACGACGAAGGCCTTCTCCTGGTCTTCACTGGCAATGGAGGAATGCAGGGCATGCACGATCCACCCTTGCTGGAATGTCGGATCTGACAGGATCTCATCGTTCAAGCGGCGAATTTCGGCCATACCAGGCATGAAAATAAGAATAGCTTTACTGTAGTGGGTCATTTCAGGCGAGGTGGCAATCTTCGCAACTAGCCGCTTGATGAGTTGATAATCAAGGCGATATTCATCAAAGTTGAGAATCGTGTCGCGGGTCTGCTTTGAATACCGATCAAGCGTTGACGGAAGGCCACCATCCACCGCCTCACTCTGAGCCATCTCAGACGATAACTCATCGGAGTCTTCATCCATAACACCATTGGCCTCATTCTCAGACAGCCGGTAGTTTGTCAATTCAACGGCATCCTCCAAGAATTTCATCTCCACAGGGAATGTCCGCCCAGGTATATTTAGCACGGGAACTCCACCTAGGTATGTCGAGAAGCGTTGTGCTTCAAGTGTAGCAGACATGAGAATCAATTTCAAATCAGGTCGTCTTAACATCAATCGCCGAAGGACGATAAGTAGGAAGTCACTGTCGATGGAACGCTCGTGAACCTCGTCAAGGACAACATGCGTGATGTCCCGGAAGTCGTCCGGGCGTTCGAGCATCCGCACCACGACTCCCGTGGTTCTATACCAACAGTCAGCAGGAAGCACTAGTTCATTTTAAATAACAGGAACAACGTACGCAAAAACGAGCCTTGTGGAAAGGCTAACTTTGCTTTCCAGCCTGACAGCAAATCCAATAAGAGAGCGTGCTGTCCCTACATCGTTCTTATTTTCCCCAAGCTCTTCACTGACTCGGCGAGCAAGTGATATAGCGGAGATTCGTCGCGGTTCTGTGACATAGATTTTGCAAGGACGGCCTTGCTGCATCTCGTGCTCCAAGATAAAGGACGGAATCTGAGTACTCTTACCACTTCCTGTCTCACTGCAGATGATAAGCGCACGGTGTGTTTCTAGAGTGCTTAGAATCTCGTCCCTGAAGTTCCAAATGGGCAGATTCATCCTGCCCTGAATCATATACTGGAACGCCGCGGTAGAGGATTTCTCCGTCCAGATCCTCATCAGTTCCGCATCAGGCTCCAAGCCATCCTTGGTGCTGATTCCACGGACTGGAGACTCCGGCTTGCTAGAATTTCCATTCCTTCGCCGAAAGTTGTCTGACAGTACAACATCATCCTCGAATGTGCCGTGATTTTCTTGGAGTAACATCTTCAGATTCTTTACCGTTTTCTTATCCACTTCCTCTTCTTGCAACTTCTTTGCGTTCGCGAACTCTGCATAAAGATCTCGCCACACGGCTGGAAGGCGCAGGTAGGCTTTGCCTTCTTTTGAGGTCTGAGAGAACAGAATGAAAAGAGCCAGGGTCGAGACGAATGCTTCAGCTTGCTGATTTGTAGGGGTTGCTATATTATCCATGGAAGCGAAGGTGGCGTACGAGTTCGAGTTGTGTGTGATACTTTCCCATTGGAAGGGAAAGGGAATCTCTTGAGATTTTGACCATCTCACCTCAACCGCGCTCCGATTCGAATGCGATGATGACGAGCAGTCTTTATACGTTACTTTGCACCCGGAGTCCCTAGTTTGACTCGGTAAGCTGTTAAAGTCCCACTATCCAGGCCCTTCAAGCGAGAGCAATGAACATACCTTGCCTTGCAAGTCTCCTCCAAAATTCTTCGAGGGCTAAGTCCAGACCATTTCCCAAAGTCGCGAAGCGTGATAGCAGCCTTGTTCAACTCTTCGGTGATCACGCCTAGTTCCAATGTAGGCTCTTCAGATCCGAACATGTCGCCCAATAAGTCTGCGTCTTCTCCAATACTGTCCAGTGGTGCTGCGTCACCATCTAGTTCTGCCTCTTTTTCTTCCGGTTGCTCTTTGTCGGCCGTCTCTCCAGCCAAAGCTCTGTCTTCGGGCTGGGTTCGGCGAGTGAAAGCCGCTTCCTTTCTCAGATCATCAAGCTTTTCTCTCCACTCGTACTCGGCCTCGTGCCGGTCAAAAAGTACGTCGTTCTCAATGCCTGCGATCTTGCGCTGTAGCTTCGCTACCTGTGGGTCTTGAATCTCAGCTTCGATGGGTTTACGACTGCCCTTTTTCCCTTTTTTGGGCTGGTCGAAGAATTCTGGCCGCAGTTCGTATAGCCGGGTCTGCAGCTCCAAATATTTCGGGGTCAATGTGTCAGGATCGAGAGAGCTGTCTGAATCATAAGAATACGGCTGCGGAGGACTTGGACCCTTTACGACGTTCTTAGGCTTTTGCACTCTGCTAATATTCTGAGTCTGTGCTGGGGTAGAAGCTTGTAATGGCTCACGATCTGGCGCCAGTCAGCTATCCAATCCTTACGCGATACCAGGCGTCTATGATTACCAGTGATCCAAGAGACATTCTTGTCCAGCTCGCTTCCCCGTTGGGGATTAGTCTGATTGTAAAAGGGAAGCTCCTTGGGATCGCAGTGCAAGGCTAGCCAATCCAGGGCCTCGTCCAGGTTGCAGACCACCTCTTTGTTAGTGGACGTGAAATTACCGGGAAAATACAGCAGAAGATGTTTCAAAGCTTCGTCAACTTTTCCGTTAGGAAAGCCTAGTTTAAGCAAGGTCTCCTGAAGTGTCCACAATCTCATATACAACTCCTCTTCCGGGATAGGCTTTTTCGAGCTTGAGTCTCGGTTGGAAGCGGGACTGAGTTCGCGCTCCTCGGTCTCCGCCAGACTTAAGATGGTATCCAGGACGTCTGAGGGAAGCCATTCCAGGAGATTAATCGACACGGCTTGCTGCCGAAGTACTCTCCGCTCAGTTTCCAGCTTCGCAACCTGTCGCCCTGCGTCATTCCTGCATTTCAAGGCGTATTTTTCCACGAGAAGCTGCAGCTCAGCTTCCTCCAAATGTTTCTCGAGTTCTTCAGGGGTATAGTTCTGTAGCGAAGGAGCTTTGTCCTTGTCGCTACTTGTGGTCGGCTGCTGGGTTTCGGCGGGAGTGGGACGGTCGCTTTCCGAGACGGACTTGGAGTCTACGGTGGAATTTGGTAATGATGGTTCTATAGATTTCGGTTTCGAAGGAATTGAGACCGTTGCAAAGCCTCGAGCCGGATTGGAGGCAGGCTTCTTCTTTTTCCTGTTGTTGGGCGGCATGATGATAGGTGAGTGAGGGGGATGGAGGGGAAGAAGAAGAGAATTGGTTCTGCTGTTCGGTTGGCGTTCAAGATAAGTTCGGATTGACACCTTCAGTCCAAGCACATATTCTGAATTGTAAGTCGAGACTGAAAGATGGGATTCAACGATATCGTCATAGCCTTGTCCGATCAAAAGAAGGGAGAGGAGGGTGTAATTGGATTGGCGCGTGCGCACGAGACAGTCGAAGAGGTTGTGGTAGGGAAAAGGTTGAAGGTAAAGCGGGCAGGCGGAGTTCACTAAGTTACTAGTAACTATAAGTTACGTAGTATGTACTACTACAAGTACCGGGTAAGTAATACTTCGGTGGTGCAGTGGGTGCGGCTGCACTAAGTTAGTAGTAGTACAGTTGTCTGTCAGTCGAGCCTCTCAACCCCTCCCCACAACCGCCGCAAAACTTTTATGACAACATCATCGGTCCCCATTTGTCAATTGTCTTGTCACGCCGGCATGCTTCAGTCCATCACTTAACATGGACGACTTCCCATGGGACCAGGTGGATTCCGGCAACCTGGAGAGTCTGCAGGTCGTTCTCTTCTCGAGTTCGACTGCTCGCAGAATCCGTGCTCTCCAGGAGCTCCGCGATAGAATCGGTCAGTGTTGCCAGTCTCTCCGGCAAAAAAAAGTCCAGCCCAGCCCCCCAAACCCCAGCTCTGCCCATTCCCTCTCCTACTCAGTCTATTGTTAATATACTCATGGTGCCCTTGATGCTGTCCAGCTTCCACGTTACCTTCTCATATCCGTCAGCCTGTCATTGGCCTTCTTTTCAAAACTTATCCTCGCTATGTCGATCGTCCCTCGCGCCAGGCCGTTCAACAATGTCTCCGCGAGCTGCTCAAGGCTCCCGTGCCGACCGATGACTTGAAATACTTCACGCAGAAACTGCAGAACGAAGCTGCGAAACCCGCACTGGCTCCCGGTCCGGCCTTGGTGCTTGTCGAATGGTGCTCAATTGTGCTACAGGTCTTGGCTGAGGACCCCGAGGCCCCGCTGTCGGCCGCTCTGGACACAATTGCGGTGGACGCGAAGGCCCTGAATATCTGTCTGGCTGCTGCTGGTCCCAAGCAGGCTGTGAAAGTTTCCGCTCTTCGAGTCACTAGGCGTGCGCTACGTGCTGTCTTTGGCTCCGTTCCTTGGGGTGAAGATGCAATCCGTCAGTCTGTCCAGCGGTTGACCAGCGACACTGCCGCGGGACAAAAGAATGCACCCTTGCTTGGCGTCATCTCCGGGGTCTGCGCTCGTCTCCCCTCCAGGAAGCCAATCCTGGAGGAGCAAAAGAAAGCCATCATTGCCTTTTACATCAAAGAACTGGTCGGTGCCAAGTCTGCTGTGCCATCTCATATCGCCGATGCATTGGGCGACTTCTTCGTCGCTTTCGTTACTTATGAAGATGTTGCGTCCGAATTAACGCCCCCTATCGAAAAGGCCATGCTGCGGTCCCCCGAAGTGGTCCTGAGTGGCTTGCTTTCATCTCTCTGCTCCTCGCTGCCGGATGGATTTGATCTTGCGGAGCTTCTACATTCTCGACTATTGAAGCATCTTTTGTCGAGTATGAAGTCAGCCAACCCAGCAATCAGACAAGGTGCCGTCCGTTCCTTTGAAGGCCTACTTTCCAAGTCTAAGAATGACAGCCTTCTGCTGAAGGTCACTAGCGAAGTCGTTGGTCCTCTCAAAACTCAAAAGATTACCAACCCGGAACAACGTGCCGTGTACGCGCAAGCCGTTGCTGCTATCCTGCCTTCTGTCGACATTTCAAAAGAAGTGATTCAAGGTCTCGTCCCTGTTTTCTCGCGTGAATCCAACGAAGCCGCCTTGGAGCAGGAAATTAAATCGTTCTGCAGGCATTTGGCATTCCTTGTACAATCCAAAGTCAGGATCAACGACGATGTCGTTGGTGCAATCGTCAAGGGCTCCTCCGATAAACGGGTACCTTTCAAGAAGCTCTGGCAGCTTAACGTCAGCGAAGTATTCTGGCAGGTAGAATCGTCGACTTTGGAAAGTGTCGAGGTTGAACCGCTCGTCAACAAGTACCTCGCCAAGATGAAAGAACTGTATACTGAGGTCTTCACCAATCCTTTGCCTTCTGCTCAGGGCGGATCTTTATCTACAGCTTACATCTACCTTGCCCTATTGAAGCGTTCCTCTTCCCTCTCAGGTTTCAATGCGGCAGCCTGGGACGAGACTATAGCGCAGACATTAATGCTTAGCCCCAAGCCATCTTTCTTGGTCAACCCCAAGGCATACTCTAAACTAGCTTCTCAGGCCGAGCTTCAGTGGGCAGTAAGAGCACTTGCTGCAGTTACCACTAGCTCCAAGTTTGACGATGCTGAAGATGCAGCCAAGACTGCATGGGCCCAGGCTTTCATTTACAGTATCACTGCACCTGCACTTCACACTAGCTTCCGTGACGAATCTGCACGCGCACTGACCGAGGTCTATCTGAAGAATGTGGCTAGCATCAGCCGGACTATTATTGATGGCCTATGGGCTTGGATTCTTGCTTTCAGAACAGGCGAAAAGGAATCTGCGCCAGTTTCCGCGGGTCTCGAGAGTGAAAAACACCTTCATCTCGTTGTGAAGGCCATTTGTCCGCCTTCTTCCATATTGCAAGGCGTGGAAAATATTACAGCTGATCTGAAAAGCCAGCTTGTCAATCTGCTTCTCCTTTGTCGACCTGAATTGATTCCGAATGCATCGTGGATCACCCTGTGTCTTAGAACCGGTACTGATCCTGGTGATTTGGTGCGCGAACTTGCAGACGATTGTTTGAAGCAATTGACTCGTGTGCAGGAGGTAATGTTGTCCCTGATCTTGCTATGGTTCCTGACTAACTAGCTGGCAGGATCCCGTACAGTCCAAGGTCCCTCAACTCAATGCCGCTATTTGGAGCGCAGCCGGCGAACTGGCCTTTGTAGCTCCGGATGCTATGGTACCTAGACTTGTTGCTCAAATTCGGGAGGACTTGGATGTATCGCGTGTTTCAAAGTTCACCCCGACTGATGTTGCCATCGCACGCACTCCTGAGGGAACCATGTTCGTTGATGTGCTTAGCACCAAGTCAAAGCCAAGTTTCGATAAGAACAACAAGGACTATAATATCCTCAAGTGGGAGGAAGAGCTACGGGTGCAACTGGCAGAAAAGAAAGGTCAAAAGCCAAAGAAGCTTACTGCTGATGAGCAGGCCAAGGTCAACGCTCAGCTTGCTAAAGAGTCTAAGATCCGTGAAGAGGTTCTCGAGGAGATTAAGAGAATAGAAAGGGGAACTGGGATCATTCAGGGCCTCGCTAGTGGCCCAGCGATTGACGCAGATGGCTGGATCAACCCTGCTGTGAGCGCCTTGCTTGCACTGGCAGAAGCTGGTGCAGGCTTGTTTGCTGGTGATGTTGTTACCAAGGCCTATCTCAAATGCTCAGAAAAACTTTCTTCACGTCTCGGTCCCCTGCGGTCCTTCGTGGGTGTCGCAACTCTTCGCGCGATCGGCCAGACACATCTACCAACTGAGATGGAGGCTGAGTCACTTGGGCGTAAGTGATAATACCGCAAGGAATTAGGGTACGATCCTACTAACACGTCTGCAGAACTCGTCACCAGGATCCTCTACCGTTTGCGCTTTGCGTCTGAACAACGCCCTCTCGACATTTCGTCCTTGGCATACGTTCTTCCCTTGCTGTTCTTGATCCTCAGTCGAAATGGAATAGAGGAACAGAAAGGAGAAGAAGAAGGCGAGCAGGTTCTCCTTGCCATTGAAGTTTTGTCTTTCCATGCAAGCTCTTGTAAGTATTCCTGTTTGAGCCCCTTGAGTTGATTCGAATGCCTGTTCAAATGGACTAATTCGATATGTACAGTTGCCGATGACCGTCTTCCACGTGTTGAGGTTCTGAACCACTTGCTCTCAGCAATGCAGAGATACACCCAGCACTATAAGCTTATCAAGGATACTCTTTTCGACTTTTGCAGGTCTATCTCATCAAATATCTCTAAGGATGAGCTGGATGTTCTGTTGAGGGGGACGATTGTTTCTGAGGTGTCTGTGCGCACATCTGTCCTACAGGTCATTGAAGCTGAAATCGACTTGACCGATCTCGATTTCTCGGAGCACATATGGCTGGAATGTCACGACCATGTCGAGGAAAATGCAGAAATTGCTGAGAGCATCTGGGAAGAAAACGCGCTCGAGGTCGATGATGCCTCGTATGGAAAGATCATTCCTTACCTCGCCTCGAAGGATTCGCATCTCCGCGGTGCTGCTGCTCGCGCCTTGGCCCACGCAATCGAGTCAAATCCCTCTGTCTTTGATGGGATTGTTTCGGAGCTGGAGGCAAAGTATTGTGTCGAGGTTCAGCCTAAAGTTCCTGAGAAGGACAGTTATGGAATGCCCAAGAAAATGGACCTGACCGACCACTGGGAATTCCGCAGTGGCATCGCTCTTGCATTCGGTGCCATGACGAATCTATTTGAGGGCGAGCAAGTTGTCGAATTTCTGCGTTTCCTGATTGAGAGAGGCCCACTGATTGACAAGAGCTCCGTGGTCAGATCCCAGATGGCGGAGAGTGGTCGATCCGTTATCGGGGCACGTGGCCAGCAGGCGGTGGAAGAGCTCATGAAACTCCTCGAGACTACATTGGAAACATCCGATAAGGGTAGTGAAACTTCTGACCTCCTCAATGAGGCTGTGGTCGTCCTATACGGTTCCCTGGCGCAACATCTCAAAGCAGACGATCCCCGTCTGCAGACGGTCCTGAAGAAGCTCCTGGGCACTCTTCCTACGCCTTCAGAGAGCGTGCAGTCTGCAGTTTCCGGGTGCTTGCCACCCCTCATTCGACTCTGCGGTCCTCAACAAAGCGGACAATATGTCAAGGAAATGTTGGATCAGCTCTTACAGTCCAAGAAGTATGCTACTCAACGCGGTGCAGCCTATGGACTCGCTGGTATTGTCAGTGGCAGAGGTATCTCTACACTGCGCGAATTTCAAGTGATGGCACATCTTCAGGACGCTTCAGAGAACAAGAAAGAGCCGCATCAGAGACAGGGTGCTTTGTTGGCGTACGAATTATTTGCGACCATTCTGGGTCGTACTTTTGAACCATACGTTATCCGAATCGTCCCGCAACTCCTCGCTAGCTTCGGAGATGTGAATGCAGACGTCCGTGATGCCTGCCTTGATGCAGCCAAGGCCTGCTTTTCGAACCTTAGCTCTTATGGTGTCAAACAGATTCTTCCCACTCTTCTTGACGGGCTCGATGATACACAATGGCGCAGTCAGAAAGGGGCCTGTGATCTCTTGGGAGCCATGGCTTATCTGGATCCGCAACAGCTGGCGGCCAGTCTGCCCGACATTATCCCTCCACTAACTGTGGTTTTGAATGACACCCACAAGGAAGTGCGCAATGCAGCCAACCGCAGTCTGCAACGCTTCGGCGAAGTTATCAGCAATCCTGAAGTCAAGAGCCTTGTCAACGTCCTTCTTAAGGCTCTGAGCGACCCTACTAAATACACTGACGAAGCTCTCGACTCCCTCATCAAGGTGTCCTTCGTTCACTATCTTGACGCTCCGTCCTTGGCTCTCGTTGTTCGTATCCTTGAGCGCGGTCTGGGCGACAGGTCGAACACGAAACGTAAATCTGCGCAGATCATTGGCAGTTTGGCTCATCTCACTGAGCGCAAAGACCTCATCTCGCATCTGCCAATCATTGTTTCTGGTCTTCAGCTGGCTATCGTTGACCCTGTGCCCACTACCCGTGCCACTGCATCCAAAGCATTGGGTTCGCTCATTGAGAAGCTTGGGGAGGATGCTCTTCCCGATCTCATACCCAACCTTATGGCCACGCTCAAATCGGATACTGGAGCTGGTGACAGATTGGGATCTGCTCAAGCTCTTTCAGAGGTTCTGGCAGGCTTGGGTACGACCAGGCTTGAGGAGACGCTGCCTACCATTCTGCAGAATGTCAGCAGCTCGAAACCATCTGTTCGCGAAGGCTTTATGACGTTGTTCATCTTCCTTCCCGCTTGCTTCGGAAACAGCTTCGCTTCTTATCTGAGCAAAATTATCCCCCCAATCCTTTCAGGATTGGCTGATGACGTCGAATCTATTCGTGAGACGTCCCTTAAGGCTGGTCGCTTGCTAGTCAAGAACTTCTCCTCGAAGGCCATTGACTTGCTTCTACCGGAGCTTGAGCGGGGTCTTGCGGACGATAGTTACCGTATCAGACTGAGTTCCGTCGAGCTGGTTGGTGATCTTCTCTTCAGTATCACTGGTATTACGGCCAGGACTGATGCAGAAGAGGAAGTGGAGGAAGCCGCTCAAGCCGGGCAGTCGCTTCTCGAAGTCCTCGGCGAGGAGAGGAGAAACAAGGTCTTGTCTGCGCTATTCATTTGCCGCTGCGATACTTCTGGCCTGGTCAAGAGCGCCGCCATGGGAGTGTGGAAGTCACTTGTCGCTTCGCCCAAGACCCTCAAGGATATGGTGCCGACATTATCCCAGCTCATTATCCGCCGCCTTGGCTCCTCTAACATGGAACACAAAGTCATCGCAAGCAATGCTCTGGGAGACCTTATCAAGAAGGCAGGAGAGTCTGTTCTCGCGACTCTGCTCCCTACTTTCGAAGAAGGCCTTCAGTCATCCCCCGACGTGGATGTCAAACAGGGTATTTGCATTGCATTGAGAGAGCTCATCACCTCTGCTTCCCCTGAGGCTCTTGAAGACTACGAAAAGGTTCTTATCTCAACCGTTCGGGTGGCCCTGGTGGATAATGATGAAGATGTTCGTGAAGCTGCCGCCGAAGCGTTCGACGCTTTGCAACAGATCTTGGGCAAGAAGGCTGTTGATCAGGTTCTCCCTCATCTCCTGCTTCTCTTGAGGAACAGTGAAGAGGCAGAGCAGGCATTGTCAGCACTCCTGACGCTTCTCACTGAGCAGACGCGCGCCAATATCATCCTGCCGAACCTCATCCCTACTCTTCTCACTTCCCCTATCTCAGCATTCAATGCCCGGGCTCTTGCCTCCCTGGCCGAAGTGGCAAGCAGCGCTATGACACGTAGACTGCCTACGATCCTCAACTCGTTGATGGACAATATCGTGGCGACCAAGGATGAGGAGCTTCGCCAAGAGCTGAGCAGTGCTTTTGATACCATCTTGGTGTCTGTTGACGAGTCCGACGGTCTCAATGTGATGATAAATGCTATGATGACTCTTATGAAGCACGATGATCACGTTCGTCGTAAGACGGCCGCAATTCACCTCAAGAACTTCTTCGCGAATGCCGAGATCGACTACTCTAGATACCATCAAGATTTGATCCGGGTCTTACTCATCTCTTTCGATGATAGCGACAAGGATGTTGTCAAGGCTGCGTGGGCGGCGCAGAGTGAGCTGACTTCTCATTTGCGTAAGGAAGAGATGGAGGTTCTTACGATCCCCACGCGACAGGCGTTGCGCGCTGTGGGCGTCCCTGGCGCTAATCTTCCGGGCTTCAGCCTCCCCAAGGGTATCACTGCCATTCTGCCTATTTTCTTGCAGGGTCTCCTGAATGGAAGTGTCGAGCAGCGTACGCAAGCTGCTCTTGCCATCAGCGACATCATCGATCGTACTGGTGCGGACTCTCTGAAGTTGTTTGTCACCCAGATCACGGGTCCCCTTATCCGTGTCGTGTCCGAACGGTCGGTGGACATCAAGTGTAAGCGCATCCTATCAATCCTGAAATGCTGCGTTCTTCGATACCCTTACTAATGGCGGGCTACAGGTGCCATCTTCTATACGCTTAACAAACTTCTGGAGAAGATCCCACTGGCCGTCAAGCCATTCTTGCCCCAACTTCAGCGGACGTTTGCCCGTGGTCTGGCCGACTCTACGAGTGAGACTCTGCGCAATAGAGCCGCCAAGGGTCTTGGGATTTTGATCACGCTGACTCCTAGAGTCGACCCTCTTATTGCGGAGCTCGTGACTGGAACAAAGACACCTGACCTTGGAGTGAGAAACGCAATGATGAAGGCACTTCAAGAGGTCGTCGGCAAGGCGGGCGCTAATATGAGCGAGGCTTCTAAGAATGCCATTCTTGCTCTTATTGATGATGATGCCAGCGATCAGACCGATGCCGTGGCTATCACCAATGCCAAGTTGCTTGGTGCTTTGGTCAAGGTGCTTCCGCCTGCCACTGCGGGTCCACTCATCAAGAATCGGGTGCTGACAGCCAATGTTTCCCACTCTTCGATTCTGGGTCTCAATGCGCTACTTGTCGAGGCACCGTCAGCGTTGACTGAACATTTTGCCGTGGAGACGCAAGCGGTGATCTGCCAGGGAGTAACCCACAAGGATGTAAGTCTACCCAACATCTCAAGGAGAGAGGGCATGCGCTAATTTCTGGCAGCCTTTCATTTCCGACAATAGTGTTCTGGCTGCAGGCAAATTTTTGTTGATTGAGGACGAGCATCGCAACTTTGAAGTCAATAAAGCCATCTTCGAAGCTTTGGCGCCTTGCATCCAGCCTGACGCGCCTTCCGATACACGGCGACTGGCCTTGGTGGTTGTACGAACGGTAAGCCGACTCCATCCGGAGTTGACACGGCCACATCTAGCTCTCCTTGCGCCGCCAATTTTCGCCGGTGTGCGCGACATGGTCATTCCGGTGAAATTGGCGGCTGAGGCTGCCTTCCTCGCAATCTTTTCTGTGGTGGAGTCTGAAGGAGCGGTGTTTGAGAAGTACATGGCTGGTCCGGGGGCTGAACTGGCGCCGGGACCCAAGCGGAGCATGTCGGACTACTTCAAGCGTGTTGCCCTACGCCTTGCCAGCCAGGCGCGGGAGCGAAAGGAGGCCGAAGGTGGTCAGGGTGGCCTGGGCCTGTCCAATGATGAGGCTGATGACGAGAAGGAATTGTGGAGCATTGGCAAGGTCGACCTTGGAGAGGGGTCGTTCGGGGACGAGTAAAGGACATGATGGATGTATAGGTGGCATGAATTAGACTTATATATACCCTTTGTGTTTCGGCTGGGGTTCAGTCTGATGCAGAGGGGGAAGTAACTATATGAGTGAAAATGGATATAGTGATGTTTTTCTGGTGTCTGGTTCATCTAGTTATTATGTACGTCGTTACTCTGTGACTTGGTTGTTGTAGATCCACCGTACCCGTTTTGGCGACCTACACCTCCCCATCGGGTACTTGGCTGTCTGGACTAGGACTGACTAGCCTGAAGGAACTACTGTATTCCTCTAGTTAGTAGTTAGTAGTTGGTCGTAGGAACTTGCCCCACTGCAGGACTTTTCCTTACTAACCCGGACATAACTATCTACCCCGAATGGATCCATCCTGCAACTTCTTCCTAGACAACCGAACACCATGACAGACAGAATTCACCGACATCCTTTCCTTGGAGGAAACCTGGCCTGGCGGAATTCCGGCTGCTGAAGAGTTGGACGAACTAATTCGAGGCTGGTGCTTGTTTGTAAAGGGTTTGTCAGTTGTCTATGTACCACTAAGTAGAAATTATACTCAAGTCTACAAGGAGTCCCGGGCACAGAACCCTGATCTCGACTGGCAGCTTAAAGATTCTCTCCTACCGAAGAGCTCTCATCTAAGCCGTTTATCTGCCTGGGGATCAGCTATATAATTGAGAGACCTACAACCAGGTCACTAAGCTGTTAGTCTGAGGTTGCGAAGATGCTATTTCATCGACAACTACTATTTACACCTGAAGACATCTGGAGTCACCAGGAGTATGTTATGCGCAAGGTCTTTGGGACATAATTGAAGCCAGAGAGGCTGCAGTGATGAAAAGTGGTTCTACCAGGGATGAGATTGCTTAAAAGGCATGGAAAAGGCATGGTATACTAAGGCCTTGCCGATGTCCGCTAACTAAGTTAACTACGTAGAATGACGGTAAAGTTGCGGAAGATAAGCGATAACAACATCAGCTTATCAATCACGTGTTGAACAGTAGGCGGAAACCCCCCCAACTACTTCGGAGTATCGCCCACCGCAAGAGAAGAAACATCGACAGGATGATTGTGTACATCTGAGGATACGGACAAGATCCGCAAATGATTGGGCTCGAGGAGATGAAGAGATACCTTGTAACTACATATCAACATCAATGCGAAGGGATGGATGTTGGCAGGTGAGGCTCTGGCGCGCATCCCCCGAACGGGACAAGCGGCCGGGGCACAAGCCCTAGAGTGGGTTTTCTCGCTTAGAAGCACAGTGGCTTAGCTAATCAGTGGGCGTATCTCAAACTCCTCACCTGGGAATTCTACCCGTCGTCGAGTGCAACGAACATCATCCGCCAACGACCGTCGATACGCCGACATCAAGATGTGAGTCTTTTCATCGATATCTGCTCTTGCTGTTCGCGAGGAGGATTCCGGCCCTTCGATGGACGACTTTTTCCCCGCCAGACGACCCCCGGATATGCCCATCGAAGGGCCCTTGATCTCTCCTCCTTTCGTCGAAGCAAGAATCTTTCGGATCAGTTTGGACATCATGCTGACCGGCTGGTTTCTTCCCCACACAATAGGGTCAACCTTCGCACCCAGAAGCGCCTCGCGGCCTCCGTGGTCGGCTGCGGCAAGCGCAAGATTTGGCTCGATCCCAATGAGATGAATGAGATCTCCAACGCCAACTCCCGTCAGACCATCCGCAAGCTCGTCAGCGATGGCCTCATCATCCGCAAGCCCGTCACCATGCACTCCCGCGCCCGCGCTCGTGAGCTCAACGCCGCCCGCAGAATCGGCAGACACCGTGGTCTGGGTAAGCGCAAGGGTACCAAGGAGGCTCGTATGCCCAGGTATGCACAGGTCTCCCTTGTTCCTAGAGCGGAAGGATTGGTTATCCGCCTATATTGCGACTGAAGAGGAAAGCTGGAAACTCGGTTTTGAGAGGCTGTGCTGACATGCAGTCTTTTCCGCACTACAGCCAGGTCCTCTGGATGCGCCGCATGCGTGTTCTCCGTCGCCTGCTCGTCCGCTATCGTGCCTCCGGCAAGATCGACAAGCACCTCTACCACGAGCTCTACCACCTGAGCAAGGGTAACACCTTCAAGCACAAGCGTGCCCTCATCGAGCACGTAAGTTGACTCCTTGTCCGCTTTGGCTGCAACAACCACTTTTGAGACTTCCAAACAATCGTTCTCTGTCCACATCTTAGCCTACCTCGAGGCGGCTTTCGAATCCTACAAGGTTTTCAAAAAAACTAACTTGGTTTTTTTCCTCCACTACAGATCCAGAAGGCTAAGGCTGAGAGACACCGTGAGCGTGTCCTCAAGGAGGAGATGGACGCTAAGCGTGCCAAGAACAAGGCTCTCCGTGAGCGCCGCCTGGAGCGCAAGGAGGCCAAGCAGAACGCTCTCGTCGCCGAGGCCCAGGAGTAAATTTCTTCTGTTTAACGAACTTTGGCGGTGCGGAGGTTGAAGGCGGGGAATAATGGGTTAATCGATCAGCCAATGGAATATAAATCAGGTCGACCAAAACTACACACTTCCCCGTTTTTTCGTTGCAGGTCTGGCTTCGTTGGCTTTTGAGGAAAAGAAAAGTTTACATCCGGGACGAATGGCTTCTGTTTGAATCGTATCATGAGGCAACCCCGGCACATATGGGTTTGTCGGGAATACGGGGGGCATACATACTTCACCTCTTGCTTTTACCTCTTTTCACTCGTGGACATTACGGAGGGGAGGAAAGTAATGAGTATGTGAATGTGGACAAGACAAGGAGAAGAAAAAAAAAAAGAGAGAAAAGACCAGCTTTTTCATTAAAGTCAAAACCAATGGCATGGCGCTTTGTGTGTGTGTTACGAAATTTCCGAACATTGTTCTTTCTATTTTTCATCTACACACGGTCTTTGCATTTTGCATGCATCTCTCTATTTCCTTCTCTTACCCCGGAAAAGTCGAACAGAATCATTCTACCCCGGATGTCTCTTTTTTTTTTTTTTTTGCCCTTATCTTTTGCCATCGCAGCTGATCTCCTGTACTCCACCTTCATCTCCCTAAACCTCATTTCTCTCCCTCTCTCTCGGAGACCGGGTCTAGCCCTTTCCTCGATCGGTTTTCCCCTTGTTTCCTCTACTCCTGCCTACACTTCCCCCACATCGTCCATGTCCAATCTCTCGTAACGTTTCCTGAATATCACGCTTGAAGGTTCTACTTGGGGATACCTGAACTCGTAGGGATAATTACGCGTAGATCTTCTATACGGTGAGCCCCCACCACACTCTACACCAGTCCTCATCATTCCTTTCAGAAATAAATGCGAAAAAAAAACCCCCGCTTTCGCCCTCCCCCGAGAAACACCACACACAACCCACTTCAAAACCTGAGTGAGGATTGGACTCCTGCAGTCCCACGTCAACTGGGCCGTCAGTAGCTTCTATGAGAAACGATCGGTGCCAATCTTGCAGCCGCCGACTTAACCTAAGAACCTAAGCCCAGGCGTTGAGCTATTCTAGAGGGCCCGTCAATGAGCTCATCATTTGAACATGATGCCACATCTTTCCGGCTTCATCGCATCGCATCGCATTGCATCGCACTTGGCGCTACTATTACCCCACAAAAATAGATTTGTCGGTTTTGAGCCTGCTGTGTCAGCCGAGATGTAATTCAGTGAGGGCGGTGGATTTTCATGGGAGATTAAATGTGGTGGGTGGGTTCAATTGAAAAGAGATATATATATATATATATAACTGGAAGAGGCATGAAACAGTCACACAGTACAAGTACTAAGGAATATATATTCCATCAACGTAAGGAATCAGCGTAAGAAAGGTGGAGCTACTACTACTAATGCAGTGCCAGGTCCATCCCGGTGCCCCACAGAAATCTAACAAATTGAAGTAAGTCAGTTCTTTGACCTCAGCTCTAGTTTAATGTTCACTACTACGGAGTACTCCGTCCGGGCTTCGTTTTTTCCCGTATGGTGTCAGGTATGATATCATAGTGAAGCAAGCCTTTTTATTTCAATGGAGGTGGTTGGATCGGATCGAATCGAATTGTCAATTCTCTCGACTGCTGTAGTAAGGAACAAATACTGGCATATGGCCACACAGAGATCTTGGAAGTTCATATACAACTTAACTGCCTCACCACCTCCCGACTGCCAACAGGACGGCTTCCATGCTTCGAGGGATGACTAGTTTCGAGTATCCCAATGATTGGAAATTGGTATTTGCACGCATTCGAAGGGACCCCTTGAACAGATGCAAGTCAAGGGAAGTAGGCAAACAAAAATAAATGTACATGATATACAGTCGCTAGCAACCACAAACATGCCAAACCGGGGAGTCACATCACAACTTCACAATGGACTAATACCACATAGGGCAATCAAATCGTATCAGCATGTCACATATATACTACGGTCAGAGAAAAATCAAAAGAGGACGAGGCATTTGCTACTTCTATAGCGGCGCAACCGGGATGACCGTCGAGCTGCGCCGATGGATGATCGCCGCCTTGGCGGGGTATTCCAGATCAAAGGGGTCACTGCGCGTGCTCACGCGTGCGGCGGGATCGTAGTACCCCTCGCCGCCCCCGGCGTCCGAGAGCTCGTTGACGGTGAACGGGTAGCTGAGTCGGTTGAGGAGACTGCTGCCGGCACTGCTGCGGCCGTTCGGCAAGATGAGCGTGCTGCCCAGACTGACATTACCGCCGCTAGAAACGGATCCGCCCCAGGCGACCGAGATGGGGCGCGGCGGTTGGGAAGTCTGCAACTGGCGCAGGTGAGGAGTAGAGGAGGCGGGGTCCGCAAAAGGGTTGCTGGGAATCCTCGTTCCACGGGATGAATCGGATTTGTAGGTGAATTCGAGGGGCTCAACGAAGGGATTGGTGTTTGCAGCGCGGGGGATAGCCGACGCACGGGGTCCGTGGTATGTGTAGTCCGGCTTGGAGACGGGGACTCGGGCAAGGTGAATCGGCAGCGAGCGCACCGAGGAAGAGACGTCGGAAAGGAAGGACCGACGGCTTTGGTTCCCTGGCCGAGAAGCACCAGGTGAAAATGACATAATCTGCGTCTTTTCCGCTGGAAAGTCTTCTTCGCTGGTGCTGGGGCTTGGAGCCCCTCGACTATTTCGTCGTTGGGAGCTCCGAAAGTAGTAGTATCCTATTGCTAAAGCGAGGGCCACGAAGGCGACTCCTCCCAGCACACTGCCCAAGATGATACGGAGTGGTGCGTTAGAGTTGGAGCTGTTGGGCAAGTCTACGCGATTGGACGAAGCAGTGGGATTGTTGTTGGGATTTATCTGTGTTGGGGTGGCGGTGGCCGTCGATGTAGTACTGATCGTGAGAGACGACTGAGTCGCCGACGTGACGAAACTGGCTGGAGCAAACCGGTACTCGGAGTGTCCTGTCCATGATGATGGCACCGTTTGGCCCGATTTGAGACTTGGGGATGGGGCGCTCGTCTGCGATGTCAGTGGCATGTGTTCCTGATGCGAACTGGGTAGGTATGAGGTGGAGGCGATAAAAGCGCTGAGGCTGTCTGCTGTGGCGGTGACGACGCTCGAAGCGAGAGATGCATCGCGCGCTGCGGTGGTCTCTGCAGGCTGGTGATCAGTTGGACGCTGAAGAGAGGTGGTGGATGCAAGCCAATCATTTGCGGAGGCAGTCGCATTGTCCGTTGAAAGGGAAGCCTCCGTGTCGGGGATGACGATGTGAGTTGCTGCTACCGGCCAGGACAAGCTGGTTGTCGTAGCTGGAGTTGCCACCGAGAACACCGCTATTCGGGACTCTCGGGGGCATTTGATACATTTCGAACGTTGACGAAGAAGAGACACACTAGCCATGGACATGTCGCCAAGCCCGCAGGCTGAATGGCGCATCAAGCCGTGTGCAGGATCCCAGGCAGAAGATTCACAGATATAGACTGCATGAACGCCAGGTATTATTGCACGAAAGCGAGGCCTCCCAGCTATGAGGCTGCAGGCGCGTAAAGAGTGGTAGCGCCGCGAGCACGTTGAGGAAGTGACACAAAACTAACAGAACCGACAGCAGAATCCTTCTTCATTGTTCTTCTTCTCTACCTGGACAAAATAAGGCAGACCATGACAGCAAACGTCAGAGACAAGCGCGGGTTGGACGGTGGTTTGTTTCAGAATGCGAACCGTGAAGCAAAGGGCCAAAAATCCATTCCACGTGAAGCAGCGTCGAAATGGATGTATCCAAGAAGCAAAAGGAACACAGCCTCGAAAAGGGCGGGAAAAAAAAAAGAAAAAAGAAAGAAAAGAAAGAAAGAAAGGAAGGAAGGAAGAAAGAGAGAATGAAAGAAAGAAGCTGACACGAGAAGTTGACGCGACGGACAGAAAGAACCAAATAAGAAGGGCTGGTCATCTTAGTTGTTGGTGTATGTATGTCTACTCTGTAAGTTAAACCATTCATGTGCATAGAATCAATAGAATTACAGGTTGATAGCGAAAGCAGGGGATAAAAAGCAGGATGAAACCGCAGAGCCACCCAAGTCTGGCAATTTCGGCCCCCCTCGCGCTGAGCAGCGGCAGCATTAAAGTCGACTCTCATGGAAGTTTCCACTTTGTGTCTCTGATCAGCTGATTGTGACTGTGATTGTGATTGTGATTGTCTAACCAGCATGACGGACAATTTGGATCAGCATCTGAAGATTTGGAGGTCAGACCACTTCATTTTATTTCATAGCCAGTTGCCACTCAGTAACAACTGCTTAGGAAGTACTCCGTAGGGCATCCATTCATTCATCACGTGGTGGGGGGTGGGTGTGCTGAGTCATCGCCAATTGAGGTCAAAATGAATTGAATGGCATTGTGTCTGCAGGTCCATTAATCAACCTGTTATTGTACGCTCGGTGTTCTTTAGCAAGATCAGGGAGAATATGGAGGAATCAAAATATGGGATCAGGATCTTACAACGGAAATCGATGATTGCCATGCCATTGATGTCATTTGCAAGAGCCGGGCCCCCCAGCAAAGGCTTCTTTCTGACATTCCCGGGGATTAACCCCAACTCCACCACATTCACTCATTAATGAGACTGATGGAGATGATGGAGACATTTGAAGGATGGTTGCCAAATGAGCTTGTTCATGCCCCCTTGGTCTGGTCCTGAACTCCTGGCCTCTTGGTCCGCCACTCCAGACTATTCCCCCCGCATTATGGCATTGTGCAGGTTTATAGGAGGGGGGGATGAGTTAGTAGTAGTAGTAGTAGTAGTAGTAATAGTAGTAGTAGTAGTAATAGTAGTAGTAGTTATTGAAGAGATGCAGCTGTTGTTCCTCTTTCTTCGTCCACTTTCCTCCATCTCTCTCTCTCTCTCTCTCTCTCTCTCTCTCCATCTCCACCCCAATACATTCACCCACTCTTTTGCCATCACTGGTTGGCGCTAAAACCCACTTGCCTTGAACTTTTACCCACTCTTTCTGCCCTTTTCAAGGCTTCTCTCTAACTCTTTTCAACCAAGATTATTTATTTCCCCGCCTCCTCCTCTCTCTTTCTCCTCCTCCTCCCACACCCCAAATCCCCCCCCTCATCTCAATTTTCATGTCTACGGAGTACTATTCAGATCTGCATAATTAACTTGTGTGATTTGAACGAATGAATTGATTGCTCCATCTCGGTCTAATTAGTCCTTCCCCCTTCCTCTCCTTACCTTCGAACCACCCCCATCACTCTTACTCTTCCTCTCTTCTCACTACTTCTCGGGTGGCGTGAACACGAGCCGCCCCCTCCCCCCACAGATACCTTACAGGTTCTCTACTTCTATCTACACTTGCACTTATTCTCTCTCCCTTGGGTGTACGATCGACTTTCCCGGCATCATGTTTGGGTGGTCTGGTTCGCTGGGTAAGACTGCCCATTTTCCACTATTCTTTGAATAATCGATCCTCTCATTAAAATCATTGCTCTCGTACATCACCCACTGTTTCTATCCGGATGGCCCCCTTTCCTTGCAATGCAGCACCCTGCAATCACGGCACGGATACCGCGACCCGCTGACCCTGTGTGATTGACGGAGTCCCCCAAGAGCTGCCTGCCTCTTTGGTCCGGTCGCGCAATTGATTTGGGGGTCGATGTTTCCAATGGCTGCATAGTGCATGCATGCTCTGGAAGGCCCCTCGATCGGCTCGTGGCACAATTCGAGCCATCCCTGAGACATCTCACTTGTGAACTCTTTCCATTGCTGACAGGATGCGATGCAGGCCTTCCGGTGTACGCAGAGCCCGAGAAAGAGCGTTGCCCACCTTCTGCCCCCACCCAGCTCGATTTTCCTGTCTACCACCTCCCCGAACTGGCACACAATGGTGCCGAAACCCCCTTGGCCAGACTGAACGAGGTGTTGGCCTCGATCCGCCGTCCACAAGACATCAACCCCCAGAAATTCGAAGCCTTGAACCTGAGACTCGAATCCGATGTTCCCGCCGCTCGCATTGTCCGTCAATCCGGTCTCAAAACCGCCCCGCCCCTGCCATGGGAAAATACGTCGGCCAGATCCTCCCCGGTGGACGAGGATGGTACCCCAATCCTGATGGACAATGAGAACCCGTATCCCTCTCGAGACCGGTTTGAACTCCTTCAGAGTGAAATGCTGCTCGATAATGATGACGCCTTTCGAGAGGTAGCCAGGCTACCTCCTCGAGAAGGACGAGATCGAGTCCGGGTCACACACACACGGAAGTTCTGGACAGGATTGGAGCGCATGGCTCAATACTGGGATACGAGCTTGGACGATTACTTTGAGCGTCCGGCCTCTCCGCCACCTACTCAAGACGATGAGCTCATGCAGACGGACGAAGAGACACGGGTACCCGAGAACTTTCCCATTCCCGAGATTCGCATGGACGTAGACGACGATATGAACCTAGACGATGTGAGCCAAGAACAGGCGCCAGCAGACAGTCAACCTGCCCCTCGGGATGAGGAACCCAAGATTGTGACGCGGTATAAAGGTCGCCGCGTTGGGGCTGGCAGTGAAATGCCGGAAGATGCGCGCGACGAAACCATTCGAGCATTAACAGAGATGGCTGCTTGGCCTTTTGGCTGCCAAGTCGCGCTGCCAATTGCACCGCCCAAGCTGGCGACTAAGACAGTGCTCTTCCCCGTCCGACAGACTTTTGTCGCCGCTCGATCTCCGAAAGATCGACAGCTGGCACGAAGTGGTGTCATGGAAGGGCCCGTGTTCGCGGCTCAATGTCGCCCGGAAACCAGTTTTCGCGGCCCGGAGGACACTCCAGGCGAAAGCATCGGCGATGTGTGCGACTTGCTCCGCGAAGTGGGTGCCATGCTCCTGACCGCACAAGAACGAGCTCGACAGGGAGCCACCGAAGTAAGACCCGGCGAGGGTCAGTGGTGGACGACGGTCCCGCGCTGGGGCGGTGCGCCAAATCATGCTGATGGCCTTCACGGTGAAGATGACGCATCTTCATCGGAGTCGGGAAATGCTCGCAAGCGACACCAGATTGAGCACCCATTCCTCGCTATGCGTCGGCCAAGTTTGGTCCGCAAATTGAGCAATAACTCCAAATGGAAGATTGTCGAGCCCGGTCCGAGTCTCTGGGATAGGCGGATGAGGTACATTCAGATTGGGAAGCCCATCGAGAGTCCCTTCGACGATGTACGTATACCCAACCTTGGCCGGGATGATACCAGGCGGACTAACCGGCGATGCAGATTTACATGCTATCATCCATCAACCACCATCTTGCTATTCTACACTTGCGTGTACATCGGCGATACCTCGAGATGATTACGCATGGATGCAGCGATTATCCTCCAGTCTCCGACGGGGATCAACCGTGGCAGGTTCTTCAGCTACGAAGGACCAAGTGGTATGATCTGTTCGACGCTGAAGATCGACTGGAGGTATTCAAGGGGATTTGGGGCATCTTCCATTACCTTTTACGGCAACAGCCCGTGCCGTTCCAGCATCTCAACTGATATCTGTTCCGTGCGTGTGTGTGTGTGTGTGTGTGTTCGTGTGATATCCAGATTTAGCCTTGCCTGTTTTTTCGATTCTCATCCAATCCCGGGTCAGTTCGAGGGAAGACGCTGCGAGCGTGTTTGTCTCGACTGATACTCATGACTTCCTTGCATCATCATCATATATAGATGACCAGACCATAGATACCGATAGAAAGCATCATACTATGAGAGTCAATTTCACTCTTGATGATCGATCACCCCTCGTTTTCCCCTTACGGTATTTGTTCTTATGTTCATAGTTGAAACCCAAACGACTGTCGCGACTCTGCGCTCCGGCCACACCGAATTGAAAGCCGGCAGCACAACATCAAGCATGCACATCAAACAACCTGCTCCACATAAGTATGTCTCGAGGTTACACCACTCTTGCTTTTCGACCCCTGTCTCACCAACCACCACGCCATATCTATGGAGTTGTTCGACGGTACATTCTCCAGGGAATTCCCCCTCCACTGTCCCCATTTCCTCATGCATTACCCACGTTACCCATGTTTCCGGTAGCGCCTTGTTCATGCTTGATCTCCAGAAAGACCAGCAAGCAAGCGATTGTGGTAGTAGTAGATCCCTGCCCACACCCTCTACCTGCTCGTTCCCTTCGCCCACCGTCCGTCTCCCCTCGGTCGTCAAGAACAAGCTCTGTCGCTATCCGCAAGAGGACTGAATCATGTCATTGCCAGCATTAGCGCGACGGGACGACAATGGAATCATGGAATGGGCATCGAAAGAAGAAAACAAAAAAAACCAAAAAGATCAACAAAACCAAACCAAACAATACCTGTTCACGTTCGCCATCTCCCTATCCCTCTCGGATGAGTGGACGGATGCAATTCACATCTACCACTCCACACCTCCGCCTCCCCCTCCTAAACCTGCCTATTGTTCATTCTGTCCCATCGAACCAGCACCCAGGGAATAGAGTCGAGTCGTACTGCATCTCCTTCTATCCGGGGATGCGAGGGTGATCCATGCCTCGAAACCCTCTGGCCCTGGGTGTTGGTTCCACGTCGGGAACTATTTGGTGCTTCTTTTTGCTCTGAATTCACTGAATTCACCTAGCTCGAGAAGGCTTTTCGTTATGCGGCTGCTGACATTCGAACCGTTGTGGACGATCGAATGTTTCTGAATGGGGGGTGGGGTGGGTTACTCGGTTCCTTTTCCCTAGAGGGTGTCGCTTTCTGAGACTTTTGCGGTTGGACAGCTTGAGGTAGGGGGTTGGTTTCTTTTGCTTGTTTCATGGGAGTTGGGTGGGTGATTTGGGCTTAGGCGGGGGGGACATCTGGATGAAAGGCTAGGCTTAGGATATTCAGTCTACTGATGTTACTGGTATATCGCCACTAGGTGTGGTGGAGTGAGGATGAGTGAGGGTGAAGAACAACCCGTAGACCTAGTGAGAACATAGACAAGGTAGTACAATCATTGACTAACACTATGGTACCCTACCCATGCTTAGTTAGTCAAATTCTTGAGGTGAGAACCGTGAAGAGAGTAACTGCACATCAGTAAACCTACATGTCGCGTCAATACTAACCGCACAGGTCTCCGATGATGGTATTATTCCAGATATATCATCAACGAAAACAAGGGATCGTCATTGCGCAGCATCAGGAAGGAACTCTCTTTGCAGAAGACTTGCATACAACTCTATGCAACTCTCCATCCAAACTCGACGCATCCTTGAACCGAACATCGATTTTATTTTCATCAAGAAGTTGTTACCGCTCAATAGCCCATGCACTAGTACTAGTTGCAAGTATACATCCATCCATGCATCCAGCCAGCCAGCCAGCCAGCCAGCCAGCCATCTACTACTTCCATCCTCCGCTCATGCAAAGTATAGGGGCGGCAAAGCAAGATTGCCTCCACCCGCCCACAAACCATCAGATCAGAGATCAGCCCAGGAGAGAAAACAGATCTTCGCTAGGTAGAACGAACCCTCTGTTGATGAATGCAATCGCGACAGGGTAATTGGCTAATCGGAATTGAGGTTGGTTGATTGATTGTTTGGATCTCTGAGAATTTTTCATGGATGAGGGTTGAAGGATTCCACCTTTCTGGGAGTGCATCTTTGATCTACGGATACTCACTAACTATACGGAGCACCATGTACAGCATCTCGATCTCGCTAGATCTTGGATGGTGACTGTTATGCCTATCAACTCCCCCCAGCTATGTTCCTTTTGAGAACTCGTATGATTTGTGGGCACTTGTGTTTGCTTTCTTTCCTACCTAATAAGCGAGGGGGTTATGTTTGATGTTTGCTTTCTGATCGAGTCCCGTCGGTGGGATGAATTGGTAAGTGGATGAAGCTAATCGGGGCTAAGAGCAGGGGGGTGGAGAGTGATGATAGAGAGAAGACGAGTCAAAAGAGAAAGAAAAAGAGAGAGAGAGAGAGAGAGAGAGAGTGTGTGTGTGTGTTCAAACCGATGCGCAGTCTGATCAATGTCGTTGAAAGCACTTAAGATTGACCCGCGACATATCGAGGGTATAAAACGCGGGTCAAATTAAACTTAGTTATGACTTTTTGCGCAAGGAGCAATGCTGCAAAGCCCGCTGTCTATGTCCTTGCAGAAAGGTCTTTCATGTACGTGCACGATCTTGGGAACAATGGCTGGAAAGGGTGGGCTCCTGATGGAGAAAAGGCCCCGCCCCCCTTCTTGCAGAAGAAGAAAGGTTCCATCATGATCTTATCATCGGATCGACCGCTAGGCCCGCGATTGCGATTGCCATTTGCTCATCGACCCCTCGAAACTGATGACTTATCGAGCCATCGGCAACTGGGCCAGCGCAAGGCAAACGGAATGGAGATTGACAGTGAGAGAGAGAGAGAGAGAGATAGAGAGACGACTGGGTGCGGTGCGATGGGCCAGTCGTGTGGTTCATATACCGTGCGTATCCCCTACATATCTACGTATCCTTGGGGAGGCGGGTTTGGGGACTGGTTTTGGACTCGTCATCTCTGGCCCCGCAAACAGAAGCGGATAACCTCTCCGAATCATTTTGTTTGGTTCAAACGGCAGTAGCTATAGTAGGTAGGTACTACTACCTAACTTAGTACGGAGTAGAGTAGTGGAGGTTGATAGCGCACACTGTCGATTGAGTACGGAGCCACTTGGAGTCCTGTCAGTCATATGATTGGACAGGCAGCGTAGAAAGATCTCGTTACTTGCTAGAATGAAGTACTGTACATGCACACTGTATTCCTTTGTAGAAAGGAGTTCACCGGGGATCTGTAGTGTGGCTGAAGCGGGAGTCTGGAGAAGCAACACTTCAAACACATGGCTGCTGATCAGGGGAAGCGGAAAGTCGTATTCCACTAAGAAGGTACTTCTGATAACAGCCAGAAGAATTCCTCATGGCTTGTGAGACTTCCTAGGACAATGAATGAAGGTTTCTGTGAGAGGGATAGAGAGAGAGACTGTGTGTGTGTGTGAGAGAACTCGAAGCTGGAGAAAGGCACCGATGAGTCAGCTAACTTACCGACAAGTTACAACACAATACATACATACATATAGGATACTGACTGTACACAGTACTCTAGTGACACAATAGTAGTCAGGTGTAATTTGCAGTGACTGTGGGCTGCACTTGCACTTGGATCGGTTTCATCTAGAGATCGTTTCCAGCGGTCGGTCGGTCTATCGGTCGGCGATGCTCGGGGAGATCGAAGAACGATGTTCCAGACCGATTGAAATGTGATGAATCAAGTGGCGTGTACAAATTGCAAGAAAAATACACACACGCAGCGCGCGCCGCTTTCCCTTGGAGGGGGAGAGGGAGGGGGGCTTTGCTTTGGCATTTGATAGGGTAGATTCAGCTTCTCTTCCTCTCGTGTTGCAAGTGAACACTGATACTGTAACGTAGTTCACTCATCTCTTTTCCCCCGCCCCCTGCTGCTACTCCCTACATTAAAATGCAAAACAGCTGTTCCCGCCTCCGTCAACGCGGCCCATTCGGCAGCATGAAGATGAAGAAGATGATGAGGAGGATGTTGGGGGACTGGCCCAGCCATCCTGCCCGTTTTACACAGGACAAGACAATTCTACCCCCAAAGTTGTCCGTGCTCAACTGAGTCAATTTGGAAGAGAATTCTATACATCACAACACCTATGCTTCCTCAAATGGGTTAATATGATGGATCTGTGAGGAGTGTCGACATCTACTCCGTACTATGTATCATCTCTGGTATGGATCTACCCCATTCTGCCCCCCCACACCTTCTCAACTCATCTCTTAACGAGCCGATGGTTTATGATAGCTTTGAATGGCTGTCTAACCTCGAGAGGACTCCTTGTCTCCATCTTATAAGCTTTGCTTTGTTTAACTCAGGCCTTACAGATGAAAATGATGCCATTCTACTCCGTATAGCTCCCCTCCTCCATCGGCACCAGACGTGTCGAATGGCAAATTCCCTTCACAATGCATGCAACGGAACACTGCTACATGCAAGCAGCAAGGTTGGGATATCGGTTCCTGGATTAACCACTGCGTCAAGTCCGCGCCGCCGCAGCCCGAATCATAGGTAGAGCAATCGGACCCGCTCCCTCTTGGGAGTCTCCTTTCCTCCGATCGCAGCCAGCTCGATAGTAAGAACCGAACCCCGGAGTCGGAAGTAATGGCGGTGGTGTCCAGCATGAGAGGAGTCCGATGCAGGAACTCCCTACTTCTTTCCCAACGAACAGGTCATCATGCACATAGACTGCAAGAGAAACCGTTCGCCATTCGATTGCTCCCCCACAGCTCCCAATATCTTACTCATCAGTGCCACGTTGTCTTGTCGGCAGTACATCGCCATGCTCCTGAAATAGGTGGGATGTGGTCGCTCCGATAGACTGTAGCTGATGTGCTTCGGGCGTGTCAGTCTCGGCCACAACAAGACACGCATGATGAGACAATGCTGGAAACGCGGCAGATGCTACAATTAGGATTCTGCTGCCGAGGAGATTGATACGATAAGCCGCCGTCTGCCCTAAACGTACAGAAGGTGCAAATCTTCCTGGAATGACAGTAATAATGAGGCTGTAGCTCGCCTTGAGAACGTCCGATCGACCGTAGATCGATTGTGATATAGCGTCATACTGTGTTTTCGGGTCAGGCCGCCCTTAGAATTGCAGCCTGCCCTTCCTGTGGGGGTACTCATCACTTACACTGTCGAAGAAGACTGGAAGTACGGACAGCCCAGAGAGCTTGCCAGTCTGTGCGGTTCCATAAGGATTGATTGTCGCCAATGGCGAATCGTCCAAGATCTTCCCCAGCCTCACTTTGCAGTGAATCCCACCGCCTGCCTGCCCATAGAATGATGATCCGCCCTCCGAACCAGCCCCTCGGGGTCACCAGAAGCGGGCTGTCCCGCTGTCAATTTTCCCAGAGTTCCAGAGCAGACCACACGGCGCTTTTCACGGGTGGGGAAAGGAATATCACATCTGAAGGAGAGGGAGCCCCGAAGGCGTCACTGAACACAGGTGACAGGACACACAGACCCATTCGGCGGACGGACTACCGACTCTTTGACCCTCTCTCCATTGAGTACCTACTAGGTACTACTAGTCATTTGTACCCCGTGACTTCAAATTGTGCGCCCTCGGCAGTGGTGAAGACATGTACCCTGCACCTTCCAGGAACAAATCACAAGCCCGATAGTACGGAATACCTTACCTACCAATACCTTGACTTTGACCTTAAACACATACCTTCATATTTTACGGAGTACTCATTACTCCGATTCAGCACTTGCTTCGGGCCTATAATGACAGGTTCAGGGTTGTCTGATGAAACCCGGTATCGGAATGGAGCCCAGGCCTCGTGATGGCTTCCCCTCCTCCATTCCATTCTCGGCTATTTGTTATAACGGGGCTCTTCCTTTTCTCTATATATATATAGATTTTTGTTTTTGACTGGGGCTTGGATCGAAGCAACCGCAATTAACTAGTGCTTTCACACTCTGTCAAGATACAGAGTATTCCGTAGGGGGAAAGGGGGGGAGATGTCTGGAAGTATGGATATGGAGGGTGTTAGTCTGGAAGCTAGGCTATCCCTTATCAGATGAGCACAGGGCAGTCAGTTAACTAACTTAGCCTAACATGAGAAGTGGTGAGCTGAATTGTTGGGCTCAGACCTCAAATGTGCGATTCCGCCTTGGAGAGCGACAAAGACAGGAAGGTTGCAGGACCTGACAGAGAATCTCGTCACTTTCTCGCTGACAAGAAGAGTTTTTTAGAACAAATCGTCGACGTGTGTGACGTGCACTGGAAAGACCAACCGTACTCCATTACTCAGTGCGGAGTACCAGAACAGGGCTATCCCTTGCTTGCTTCAAGGTTGCTTTCTTTTGGTGGTGCGCTTTGATCATCATGAATACTGACTAGTTACTGGTAACTCGTACCCAAGCAAATCTACCGACCGACTACACTACTCACACTACTCTACCCTAGTAGCGACCTTGCCTGGTCGCACGGAGGACAAGTCATGCACATCATCCGCTCCTAATCTTGCCGGTCGCGCCCAAGCCTTGCAGGATCTTCGTTCAATCAGCGCCAGTTGAACCGCGACAGATTTCCCCTCTTCGTTTGCCTGACCCTTTCCTCTTCACTCGAAGATGGAGACAGTAATGAGATCATAAGAGCCAGTTCGGGAAAGAGCGAGTGAAAGAACTTTGTTGCGAACTTCTATGTGCGCCCCAGGACCCAAGATCGAATAAATGAGGTTGGCAACCGATGGGTGGTTTCCAGGAGACGGGATCGTGGGAGCCATAAGTACCGAGGGAGTACCTGGTGCTAGCAGCGGATCCGCTCTATAAGACATGAGAGGAGGGGCGTTCTGGCGAGCAAAGGCAGGTGATCTTTGGCTCTGATTGGTGAGGTATTGTGTGCGAATCGATCTCATTCGCGATGAGGATCCGACTGAGGTAGGTAAAATACCTAGTACAATTGTGCTACTTGTTGGTCGGTTCAAGTTCCAGCTCAATTGGTTGGACTGAGACCTGAAACGGGCTGGGTTATGGATCGCCCGCCTACTTCACGATCATGGGGGAATCATCCTGCTTGGCTGCGCAGAATCGACGGTGTGCGACTGCGACCGAAGTCACTCATTGTTTAGTTCTGCAAGCTGATCATAATGTTCCGCTATGCCCGGTTCCTCAGGCTCTTCGCGTACTCCAGACTCGCATCATTCAAACGTTTTGACTCCTCTCCAGAGCTTCATGATTCGAGGCTCAACTCGAAAGGGTTTGTGTATCACATTGCACACCAGGAGATGAGCCCCCTTGGAAGTGGCGGAGAGAAACAGCTAGGGAGGGGGGGGGGGTGTTCTTCTTTAGAATGTGCCTGAAGAACAACCATTGCTACGGTTAAAGTGTGGTGAGACAAAGGTTGAATTCCCTCGTTATTGTCTCCGTACTTGAACCGCAGTTGCCTCCCGTGAGTTACCGCGCCCGAACTTACCACGGTTCAATCCAGTGAATACCACCGACCGATTGTTCCTGACAGAAAATGTTTACTATGGAAGAATAATGGAAATATGTTTGAACCATGGAATAACAAATCGCCACTGTAGATGTAAACAGACCACCCAAAGTAGCAGTAGGCACCGGTAGCTCATGTTCCGAAACATCTGCATGTCAACAACTCGCACAAAATATGGGGGCGTGGCGTGATCTTTTTTCTTTTTCTTCTGCTTCATCTTCATCTTCATCCTCAAGGGCGAGGGTGGATGTATGGATCATCGGCTATTGACTCCGTTGGCCACAGCATGTCACTCGGTTGTTTCTCCGCCTTTTCATGACGCCACTCCTAAAATTGTACTGTACGGAGTAGTTACATACGTCCACTGTGCTTGCTCACCGTCTTCTTCTTCTTTTCCAATTGTGTCTGCCTGAGGCAACTATCTTCATTTTCCATCCCCGGGTCGCATCATGCATAATGTCTGTAGCCACAAATGCGACCGATTTGAGGTTATCACTTCTCTCCACGACCTCTTCCTTCCACAGGCTCGCAGTATCCGACTATGCGTTAGGCATCAATCGGCCTGCCCGGGGAGAAGGAGGAGGGAGCCTATGGGACAAAAAAGCCGCTCAGATAGACAGATACATACCTTGCGGATAGGGGATATCGCCTTCCCCCGTGGTCCATAGACAAAGGACACAAGTCAAATCACAAGAGACAAGAGGCAGGGTACCTGGTAGACTTGGTAGGCAAATGGGCACCCAACAAACCGGAAGCATGGCCCTATTGACAGCAAGCATCATGAGCACATGTACTGAGTAAAACTCCGTGCTCATCATCCATGCGCCAAAGAAATGTGTGTTTACCAGATGGATGTTTATCCATTCTCGGTTAGGTCATTCTTTGATAGACGTTTAGATGCACAATTTATTCTTCAATGCCCATCGAAGATCGGTCCATCGCTCATTCGAAAATTCCCCCTTCCCCTCGCCTCTCTTCGGCTCCCATACCGCATGTTCTTCCCCCCTCTCGGATGAGCGATCCGGTTCCTCATTGATTCTAAGAACTCTTTCCCCAAGTTCATTCAATAGATTACCGCGTATGATCCCTTGGGCACCGACCATGTCCTGATCATCCCAGCGATCATGTGCCGAAGAAATACCGTTACTCATCGGACCCGAAGATCAAGGCTCTCAACGACGGAGCACTCGGTACTCCGGACTGTATCTGTCAACAACGGTATGTGATTGACATAGAATCTGGCTTTCACTCTGGGTCACACCCTCGATAGTTAAAGTATTTACTACTTACTTACTCAATCCTCAGCTTGTTCTGATTCTTTCTTTCTGAGATCATTCTCTTTGCTTTCCTAATTCGCATCTTGCCCCCCTTCGGCCCCTTGAGTCAAGCCGAAATTCTCCAGCTTGACCCATGTGGCACTGGGAAGGACCGGGACTGATTGCGGGCCCTTTTCCATCCTTTCCGCTCCGTTTCCTCCCCCCTCTCCCTCTACCTGGACCCCCCCCCCTTTTGTTCCTCCCCACAGTCAGTTCGTAGAGATTGATGGGGGTGTTTCGATTTTTCATTCATTTTTTTCTTGGAAAGAAAGTCAAGGGTTTGACGGGCATTTTACTGCCCAGTATGCAGAGCATCTAACTTTCCACCGGGTTGTAGATTGGCGTGACTGGGCTTCTGTGAATCACATCTTAGTCCATCCTAGTCTACAAGTAGCGCCCAGTTCCAGTTTGCAGCTCCACTTGCTGCACACACACACACACACACACACACACCCACACGCTTTTTTTCCTGTCGCTTTATTTTATTTTATTTTTTATTTTTGTTATTTATTTATTTTTTTTTTTTTTAGAATTTCTACATGTGCCGCTACTCATGAGCAAGTCTGTCAATTCCTTCTGGTCTCTGTGGGTATTATCGTTATCTTGGCTTTCTCCTATTGCGGTTGGCGATCCTCGCGTCTTTTTGGTCGAGAGGTATTCCTTAGCTTTTCTTTTCTAAAAAAGACGTTGAGAAGAATTCTCATTCCAACGAGAGTAAGTCAGAAAATCGGTTTAACATTTGACGATACTTCTCCACAACAAAGAAACAGAAAGAGGAAAGAGGAAAGATAGCCCAGACGAGGAATTCCTGGAGAAAAGCGATCTATCAAATCTCATGTGTGGCTTGTGGTTGATCCATGCAAACCGGGATCCTGGTTCGGGACTTCCCCCAAGACCCAATGGATCTGAAGCAGTGGGACAAGCAAGCAAGAAGAAGTTGAGGAGGGATTAGAAGCAGTTTGTGGCTAGTCTAGTAGTAGGGGCAGCAGTAACTGGAGCAAAAGAGAAAAAAAAAATGGATGAGCTAAAGAAGTTAAGATGTAACTAACTACGGAGTAGAATGACTGGGGAAGAAGGGGTCCAGAAGGCTGGCTACCTACTGTACCCTAGGTACTCCGTAGTTAGTAGTACTGTTTACTGTTTACTTCTGCTTGGGTGCTTTGCTGTAAGGATTGCAGGGCCTGTAGCTAGATCTCTAAATTGTCACTGTTACAGACCTGATTGTTTTCATATCTTCCTATTGACCAGCAAGAAGATAGGGGTTGAGGGACGAGTAGCAAGCAGTACGGAATACGAAGTACAGACAGAGAGACCAAAGAGAGGGAAATCAAGAAAGAGGGGCAAGGCAGACACTCCTCCGTCCCTCATGGCTGTTCGTCTGATACTTCATTTCTTCGGTCATCGCGCTCATCCATTCCTATTCTTGTTATTGTTGTTTATTGTTATTGTTGTTGTTGTTGTTGTTGTTGTTGTTTTAATTTGTATTCTCCGTACTCGGTGGTAGTATGATGTATTATTTCATTCTTTCTTTCAAAGGCGAGAGGTGAGTGAGTCTTTTTTGGACATTTCGATCCCACCTTCTAATCCCATCAAATCAATCCGCTCTTGCCGAGCGAGGACCGACCGACTTAAGTTAATCTCGTTCTTCCTGCATTGCTTTTTGCCTTTGACTGACATTTCAATTAAATTTCCATTGAGGATCTATCTATCCGTCTGGCACTAGTATTCATTCTCCTCTCCTGTCCCTCTCTCTCTCTCCCTCTCCCCCTCCTCCCTCTCCCTCTCCCCCTCCTCCTCTCCCTCCCCTCCCTCCTCCTCTTTTCCTCCCTCTGCCCGCTCTCCCCCCCCCATTTTGCCTCTTTCTGGGACCCGTTACCGAATTTCTCTTTTCCTTCTCCTTCTCTACGTTTTAAAGGAAAAAGAAAGCCCACATCACCTGAATCATCCTCCGGAAACCTCGACCACCCTTTCGATTCGACCTCTAGGGAATAATACCCACTTTCCTCTCCTCCCACCAACCCCCGGGCGACCCGACAGCTTGGCTTAACTACCCTGCCTAAATATCTCCCGCCGCATCCAAAAAAACCAAAAAACCAAAACAAAAAAAAATAAAAATAATTTCATTGATTATTCGGTTTATTTTAATTTGGATCACTGTGTATTCTTTTTTATTCTTTTGATTTATTTTTATTATCTTGACCATTTACCATTACCTTTACTATTATTATTTTTATTCTTTTATTTGTCCTGGAAAGCAACCCATCACGTACGTTACACTTAACATCCTCCATGCCTTGCTTGCTTGCTTGCTTCTTTTCTTTTTCTCGTTTCCTAGTCTGATCTTTTTGTTTTCCCCTCCTGGAGGCGATACCCACATGACATGCACCACCAAGCCTGACAGACACCAAACATCTCTAGGTATGCTTTCTCTCCTGCAGCTGGGGGACATTGTATCCAAGACTCTCTTTGTCTTCGTCCCCTCCTCCTTCTCCTCCTCCTCCTCAATTGCTTACTGAGCGCTACGCCTACTACTATTAGGCCGCTTCTGACGAATTTGCTCTCGCAGCGCTTCCCCCCTCCCCC